CGGGGAGCCTGGGCCGCCGCAATGCCCTGGGTGGGGTTGGGCCCGCCGGCCTTCCCGGTGCTGCCGGTCCGGACCAGCGCTTGGCTGCTCTCGGGGATGCTGCACCTGTCCAGTTCGGGAGGGGATAAAGGAAGTGTGTTTACCAAGCGAAAGGTGCCAGTAGGTATTTTTCGGTTTCTTCACCGGACCCTTAATTAAGCGTCTGCAATGGAATATTTGCAATCTGTGCATCGAAGGCAAAGGAATAAAATAGAAGCGGAATTATTTCACAGGAGTGGGCAAACACTGGCGGGCGATGATGTCATACTGTGCTGATGAACAGTACGTTGGGCTTGAAAATGCTGATTGCTCCACTAGGTAAAGTGGCGTTTGGTTTCTTGCTTCTCACAGAAAATAGTGTTTTAGAGGAATTATTGGCACAAACTCAGTTCATTGATAACAGAAAAGTGGTGAAGGGTATGAAAAGATGGTTGCGTACGTGTTTAAAAGTCTGCTTTAAGATATATTCTCATCCCTCAGGTAAAAATGGTACAGAAAAACACCAAAGAGGAAGTAGCATTGTTCAGTACTCGGAAGATTTTCAGTAGTTGAAAGCTCCATGTTTGTTTCGATTTAAGGGGTGTTTTGTCTCTTCTTTTTTTTAAAATTTAGCCTCAGCTGGACTTGAGCACACTGTGTAGCGCAGCCTGGCCTTGAACATGCTGTCATCCTACTGCCCCAGCCTCCTGGGTGCTGGGATTACAGGTGCCCTGCTTAAACCTGTCTGTATGAATTTAGTGTTCACTTTATGACTGTCTTGGTGAAGTATTAGCTACCTGGAGGGGGTAAAATGATCTTGTTGAAGTCGTACGACAAAGAAATTCTAGAATCAACCGGTACTTCTTCCCGGCGCAGTACATGTTCATTCCGTGTGATGGACGTGGACACTCACTGTAAAACCATAGTGAATTGAGCTTTGGATAAGAAAGAAAACATCTGTCCTGGCAGGAGACAGGATGAAACTTAATTTTTGCTGTCATCTGAAAATTAAGGTTTATTTTTTACCTGTCTTATTGGTAAAGATGATATAATTTGTATTTCCGGAAAAGAAACAACATGCACTGCTTAAAAGATTGGAGAAAACTGAACTGCCACATGTAAAGTGAGAGAGGGGATGAGGTAGACCCTGGGTACTGTGGCCTTTGTCTGCCTTTGGCTTTTGCTTTCGGCACTGGAGCAGAAGTGACTGGTTGTATAAAAAGGACACCATCCTAGAAGTCAGGAGGCCCAGATGACATCATAGCACCGTGACCTCCAGCACGTCCAAATAACATAACTTTCTTTACTTCCCAGTTTCCTCTGCCAGGTACTTTGTGAGAATGTTGGACCTGGCAGCAACCCTTAGAGCTCATGGTCCCAGCTCCCTTAAATTGGCACTCGCCACGATCCTCCTGCCTTAGCCTCTCCAGTGCTGGGATTACAGGCATGCACTGCCATACCCAGCTTACATTTCTTTTCTTTTTTTTTAAATATATAAGTAATATGTGTCAATTTTTGCCATTCATGAATAACAATAGATTGACAACTGTTATGTAATTGTCACTATTCTCAATACTGAGAACTTTTCCATTATTCCAAAAAACTGTACCCATTAAACAATACATATTTCTGCCGGGTATGGTGGTGCACACTTATAAACCTAACACTTCGGGAGGCTGAGGCAGGACAATCATGGTGAGTTTGAGCCAGGCTGGGCTACCTAGTAAGTTTAAGCCCAGCCCAAACGAAATACATCACGAGACCCTGTCTCCAAAAAACAAAAAATAATTTATATTATTTTAATAGCATTTTTAGGTTGTAGGCTCTTAGAAAATAAAAATACATGCCTTGTTTTAGTTGTTACTGTAATCCAAATGGTATTTCACATAGATAGTGGCAAATTCTTAAAATAAACTTGTTGAATGTGAATTATTTTTTTGTTTTGTTTTTGTTTGTTTGTTTTGAGGCAGGGTCTCACTATGTAGTTGAGACTGACCTGGAACTCAATGTGTAGCCCAGGCTGGTCTCGAACTCAGTGATCCTCCTGCCTGAGACTCCTGAGTGCTGGGGTTACAGGCGTGCCCCACCACGCCCAGTGAATGTGAATTATTAATAGAAGGGACTATAATTCAAAGGGTGTGTCACATTCAAATGGAAGATGAGAATCCCAATTGAGTTTTTCCCACTCATATTTTCAAAAGTCATTTGATTTGTTATTGCAGCTTTAAAATTTTTATTTTATTTGTAAGTTATTTATGCAGTTTACAGTCATCTTGGGGAGTGGTTTTGTGTACACATTATGGCTTGGGGTTTTTTTTCATCCACTTCCTTCCCCTCTTCCCTCTTCCCCAGGCTCCCCCACCCTATTCTGTGTACTTGCTGATATTACCTGTCTTAGTTCATATTACGGCATACAGTGTTTACATTAATTGGAGTATGCAGCTTTAAAAAACTATACCTTTCATGTAGCAGAAAATGAAGGACTAAGAATCTGGTTCTGCAGACAAGAGTGTGCTGTAGTTTTTGTTTAAGGACAGTTTTGATTTTTTTACCAGGTAGAAAAGAACATAAAAGCAGCAAACTAAAGTCTCCTGGATATGTTATATGAGTTCCAAAAGGATCTTCCTCACTTTGCAGATTAGTGTCTTAGATGTCCTACAACTCTGTTTTATTAATCCGTCAAAATTCAGGTACATTTCGTGTTTGGAAAGTGTGTGTGTTACATGTGTAACATAAGTCTTGGCCACTGCTGTTCTTTCTGACCAGTGTATCAGGTTATTGGAGGTTCTAATTTAATTTCCCAGGATGAACTAATCAGCAACTTTCTTCTCCATTTTAAGATTTTCCTTCTAGTATAAAGGATTGCAAGTGCATGGTCCATTGGATGGCATCTCAGACTTCAGTGGTTTTAACTCGGGCGTGGGCTTTGTTACCTGCTCTTGCAGCTGTTCAGAATGACCCTGCTCATGTTGGTCACCAGTTCTTGCCCTGCAGTGGAATTATTTTAGGGAGAATTCCAACACTTGACTCTGTCCCTTTAGACTGAAGTGAACTGAGGTAAAGTTCCTGTTTAGAATACTGTCTCAGCAGTCAGCTTGATTAAGCCTGATGATTTGCAGTGAGGTTACTGTTTTTAGGTACCAGGGATCGAACTCAGGACATTGCGCTTGCGAGGCAGGGATTAGAACCACTGAGCTAAATCCCTGGCTAAACCTGATGATTTACTTTGTCATCTCACACGGACCACAAGGGAAAGCCACCTTCTACCAGATTTGGGGACCCAGAACATAGGTTGGTATAAGATGTTTGCTCATCTTTTCTGAATTTTTTGAAGTCTTCAGGTATTTTTTAAGTGAAAAATGTCTTTATTTAAATTACAAGAACACCTATTAACTGTACGCTTCGTTTTTTTTCATTTTTGGAAGGAAGTGAATTCTGTAGGTAATATGCCAGCTTCTAGTGGTGACTTTTCCAGTTTATTAATATGCTTAATATTTTGAACATTTTAAGTAATTTAAAGTACTAAACTATTTCAAAATAGTTTTGAAATATCCATTTCAACTCTTTCATCTAATTTTTTTTAATTAGCAAGGTTTTCTTTCTTAAAAACTTGCCTGAAGTTAGAATTTTTGACATGAAATTATTTCTGTGCACCTTTTTTTTTTTTTTTTGATACTGGGGATTGATCTCGGGTCCTTGTGCTTGCAAGGCAGGCCACCGAACCACTGAGCTAAATCCCTGGCCCTCTGTGCACCATTTGTAGAATAAATTTGCTAGGTATAGATTGTGCATTCTAGAGTTTTATTTGTTCCAATATATAAAACGATCAGATTTGTATAAGTTTTGCTAAATAATATATTCAAATATATATCAGATACTCTTAGGTTTCATTCACTGATTGGAAATGGGGGAGGGGGAGTTGACAGGCTCAGGCTGGCCCAGGCTACCCTCCAACTCACACCTCCCAGTTGCTGGGATTATAGGTGTACACCACCACACCTGGTTTAGATTGGATTTTTTTTTTTTTTTTTTTTTTTTTTTTTTTCTGGTTAACCTTGCACTTGCCAGGTAAGCATGGTGCCACTGAACTAAATCCCTGGCCCCCTAGACTGGAATTTTTTTGATTTGTTTTTTGTTTTGAGACAGGGCCTCACTATGTGGTTGAGACTGACCTGGAACTCACTGTGTAGCCCAGGCTGGTCTCTAACTCACAGCGATCCTCCTGCCTCAGCCTCCCGAGTGCTGGGATTACAGGCGTGCGCCACCATGCCCGGCTTTAACATTGGTTCCATCTATGATTTTTGTCATATTTGTAGGGCTGCTGTATACATCTGTATAGACTCCACTTGATCTTAGCCAAAAGGCTGAGAAGCGATATAGCTATATAGACTCTTACTCCAGAGAGAGGCATTCATGTGAACTGCGTGGCTGTGGTTCCCCCTGCAGTTGCATAGGGAGGCAGCTGACTACACTTCTCTCTCCCTCAGGAATCCAAGGGAGCTTTGTTCTAGGAACCAACGTAAAGAAAGAAAAAAGAAATATATATGACACTTGAGTAATACTGAATGATTATATAATGTTAAAAAAAACAGGAAAATGTTCAATAAGAGGATAGATTAATCAAGGACATAATAGCATAGCTGTTAAAATTATTGTGTACAGGGCTGGGGATTTAGCTCAGTGGTTCTGCCACCTTCCTTGTAAGCGCAAGGTCCTGAGTTTGATCCCCAGTACCCCCCAAAAAATTTATTGTGTACATAGAAACATGGGCATTTCTGTAACTTTTAAGCTTGACTTGCTAGTTCAGCAGTTTCCAAATACAAGTGTTTTTTGTCAGCAAATATACCAGCAGGAAACAAAAGTTCTAGAGCACTGCCAACACAGTGCAGGCAGCCTACAGTTTATGAGTGAGTTGTGTTCCAGAAGTGGGCTGTTTGAAATTCTAAACACACTTTCCTAAAGAAACCCTGTTGTAAGGACGCTCATCCCACAGGAGCACAGAACAGCCTTAATTTTCCTCATAAATTTTTTGGAGTATATGTAATATCTACACTTAACTTCTATTTATAGCAGTTTTATGAGACAGCGTTTTGAGTTCTACCTAAAAGCCCTTAAATCCGAAAGTGAAAAAGGCTTATGAATCTTTTCTTCCTTTTTCTTTTTTCTCTTCTGTGCCCTGTTTACTAATACAGGTGTGGCTTATCCCCACATCTGCCCCTCAGGGTTTGAGCATTGTCCTGTGAGGACAAGATGGTGCCTTTGATTAACCACCTTCGGCTAACGTCTCTTACCATTTCAGGTTGAGTTCTCTTACCCACCCCTGATTCCAGGAGATGGACATGCCAGCCATACTTTACCTGAAGAATGGAAGTATCTGCCCTTCCTTGCCTTACCAGATGGCGCGCACAACTACCAGGAAGGTATGTGGTGAGATAGTGGAATAATTAGTAAGTGCCATTTTTTAAAGATCTGGGGGTGAAGGGCAGCCAAGAGGGAAGGTGGGGAAGCAAAAGTAAAAAGGATCAAGATGTGATATCTATGTGTACCGATTTCCCACGACCATTGGATTTATTATGTATCACAAACATATACTGATAAAATAAAAGTTTGCTGAGACACCCTAAAGATTCTGAATACTTTGATAAAAGAAATATCTTGGCTTATTGTAACTATTTATAAAATACTGATGTGCTGGCCAGAGATGGCACATACCTTTAATGCCAGCTACTTGGGAGAATAAGGCAGGAGGGTCACAAGTTAAAGCCAATCTGGACAACTTAGCAAGATCGTGCCTCAAAATAAAAAAGAGGGCTTCTGGGGATGTAACTCAGTGCCCTGGGTTCAAACCCCTGTGCCACACACACCAAACAAATGCTGTTTGGAGATGACTGGTCATGCGCTAGAGCCCTCCAGAGCACACTGGCCTGGGATGGTGATCCTCAGCCACCTCTGATGGGAGCCTCACTAAATAAGTCCAGAGTACAATGGCCGCCTCTGGGAGCACTCCATCAGTTATACTGTAGGCTCCTCTCAGCAGCAAGAAGCAGAGGCTGCCTGCACCAGATGCACACGGCTTGAGCACTAGCCCCAGGCTTCCTGGACTTGGTACCCCAGCGCCCACCTGGAAACAGCTGAGGTGGTTTCTCCACCTCCAGAACCAGTGTCATCAGTGCTCTGCTAGCAAGGGTGAGTGCCTCGGAGAAAACAGTGCTGAAAAGTTCCTGCTGAGCCTCCTACCTTATAAATGAGTGCTTTGCCAGACTTCATGAGAGACTGCATCCTGCCATGGTATTAGAAGTTCCAGCAGACTAAAGTGGACTTGATTGCCTATTTTCCTAATACATTATTTAATAATGTCCTCATGAAATAAATCACATTGTTCCTATCCAGTTTAAATATAGGCTTTAGGGCCACGGATTTAGCTCAGAGGCTCCACTGCCTGCCTTGCAAGCACAAGGACCTGAGTTCGATCCCCGGTACCAAACTAAATAAATAAATAAAGACAGGCTTTATAACCCCAGAAATCTTTTTTCCCCCTTTTTATTACGAAAGTTTTCAAAGCTACAGAAAAATTATTGAATTGATTCTAGCAAATTCTCATAGTTACCTCTCAGCACTGAGATACAATACCTGACAGCCACAACTTAAACGAGAAGTTTGTTTTGGCTCACAGTTTGTAGAGCTTTCAGTCCACATTCGGCTGGCTCCAAGGCAGGGTGGCAGGGCAGAGGGGCATCACAGAGGAGAAACAGCATATGGCACAGCAGACAGAAAGTAGAGCGACACAAGAGAGATGGAAGGAGACACTTCCAGGCCATGGCCCCAGTGACCAGATGTCATCTCCCAACAGCACGTTAGCTATAAACTCGAGTGCACTATCTGCCTGTGAGTATTTCTCCCCCGTAATCCAGGCCCTAATCTTAACCCCCATGGTAATTTAAATCCTAACCCTATGGTAACTTAAAATTTCATTATTTATAAAGGTAATTCACTTCAATATTTATATTTTTCTGTGTATCTTTTAGATACTGTGTTTTTTCACTTGCCACCCAGAAATGGAAACGGAGACACAGTATACGGTATCTCTTGCTATCGACAAATTGAAGCCAAGGTATTATATTTAATATGAATAAAAGAAAAACTGCATCATCCTTCCTTATATATGGTTCACTGAGGGCAAAGCATAGTTTGTATTTTTCATGTGGTGCCTGTGATGTTTCAGATTTTTATAATTTGTCACTCCTATAGTACCAGTTTATTCTAGCTAATATTTTTTATAGATTGACACTGGTGTTTATGATCATATGGCATATATTTTATACACTGTTTTTGGATAGACTCAAGTTACCCGTTTGTCTTTTAAGTACTGTATTAAAGTTTCATATTATCTTTCACTTTTCTGTTTCTAGTGTTCGGTACTTGTGTTTGTCAGTTTTCCATCTTGTGACAAAATAACCTGAGCTAATAAGCTTACAGAAGGAAAGGTTTATCTTGGCTCAGTGATTTCCATGGTTTCAGTCCATGGTTACTTGCTTTGGGCTCGGGTGTCAGGCAGTGCATCAAGGCTGGAGTCTTGGCCAAGGAGGCTGTTCACCTCATGGCGGCCAGGAAGCAGAGAAGGGGCTGGCAGGGGCAGCCCTCGGTGACAGCCCTCAGTGACCTAACTTCCTCCAGCAAGGCCCACTCTTCAGGGTCCTACCACGACCCGCTGCACACAGGCCAGGGACCATGCCCTTCATACGTGGTCTCTAGGGACACGCACCCAAACCATAGCAGTTCCCTGAGACCAGTTAACTTTAGTGTTTATTTGAACAAAATGAAACAAAAGCAATTCACAAACTGGGCGGCTCCTGCCAATGTCATGATCAGGCAACACTTTTAGAAAAGAAGCGAGATACAGAATCTAGCCTACTTGGCCACAGCCTGGCCATTCAACCAGCTGGTCAGTTCTAACTTAATATTAGTTCATTGGCAACAGGTCTTCCTTCAGCACCCAAAGCTCAGTTACTGTGAGTAAACTCTTACTTGTCTGGTCTGTGGGTCTCAGTACAGGAGCTCAGGACAAATCAGTAGGAGGTCACTGATCCTCTAAAGTAGTGAGGAGTTCCCAGTCTTAGCACCAAGTTGGAACCAGCAAGGAGCTTTGAAAGCGAGGGTGACCAGGTCCCTGAATTAATCCTGAGCACCAGGTGGTTCTAATACACGGGCAGAATTGAGAACCATGGCTCTAGAACAATAGTTTTCAATCAGAATTAGCTGGGCTCTTTTTCGTTTTCAAATGTGTGCTATCTTTCCTCCTGCTGACTGAAAAGTATCTCTGGGGCTAGAGCCTGGGCAGTCATTGAGTTCAGAAGCTCCCTTGGGTAGACAGTTAACTTAGTAAATCTCTTCATTTTCTTCTATCTTCACAATGAAAATTTCAGCATTCAGGTATATCGAAAGAATGGTACAACAAACACGTGCACACTCATCACAGAGATCAATTCTTAATGTTCTACCACACGTGCTGTGTGTGTGTGTATGTGTGTGTGTGTTCTCTAAGTATCTGTAAGTGAATTACAAGTGTAAATTATAGGCTGCTCAAAGTCAGTTAATTCTATAGAATGAACAATCTAAAATTAAAGGTACTACATCTCATTATCACATACACTTTAAATATACACATCTTTTGTCAGTTATGCTTCAGTAAAATGGGGAATATAAAAGAAATCTAAAAAAAAAGAAAGCCAAAGATAAAAGAAACCTGAGAATAAGTTCACTTAATAACTCTGTGCATTGATCTCTTCACATACTGTTACCTTTATATACTTATATATAAAATAAATTGAGCTGCTGCCCTTTCGCAGAAATCAGCTTCTCTATTTCTTCTTATCCTTTATAGATCACATAAGCACTAGTAAAATTGTTTCTTCCAGTTATTCCCTACCCTCACAGCTGTTACCATTAACAACAGTTCTCACGCCCTGTGTAGCTTTTAAATACTGCCTCTAACCCCTGAGCGTGACCCACTCCAGGGTATCTGAGAGTTGCCCATTGCTTCAAGTTTTTCTAGCTACATCTGAGAAACAGAATAGATATACTGGACATGAAAAGGACCTAGAAGCCTAGGAGAAAGTTTTTAATTCTCTTTGAATGAAGGTAGGATAAAATGGATGGATCCATTCAAGAGCAAGTCTCTACTGTTGACCTAATTTAATGACAGATTTGACACTGAGCCCCCTTGGTCCTCTGGGCAGATCAAGGAAATGTCAGGAAAAGTCATTTTTACTTCCTGCTCTGCCTTTCTGAAATGGACCAAATCAAGGCTTGTTTCTACTAGCAGAGACCTGCAGAAATGTCACACACTGTCTAAGTTACTTTCATGTCCCTGAGACACAGTACCGGATACCTACAAGTTAAAGGAGGAAAGGTCTTTTTCAGCCCACAGTTTATAGAGGTTTCAGTCTGTAGTCAGTTGGGTCTAAAGCAGGAGTGGCATGACAGAGGAGAAACAGCTCGTGGCAGAGCAGGCAGGAGGCAGCAGCAAGCAGCAGCCTGATGTCCTTGTGTCCCTTTTATCCTGTCCAGGCTACAAGCTTTTTCGGGATGCCACCCACACCCAGAGTGGGCCTTCCCATATCCACACCCATAACTATGCTAAACCAATCAGTGAACTCATTGAGTATCACAGACCCTTAATCCCAGTGTCATATATCCTTAATCCACATTCTCACACCCTACATCCAGCCACCTCAAAAAGCCCCAGCTTTGAGCATGTGAGGCTTTGGGGAGACATAGAGATACAAGCTGTCCTCGTAGGCACTGAGGAATAAGTTATGAACACGGCACTGGGCTGTCACACAAGTCTGCCAGGATGTACCCCAGTCTTGTGTAGCATGGCTAACTTAACAGAACTCTGGACTGTCTTCCATTCTGGAGCAGCAGCCTGTTCATTCCTGTCATTTCAAACTGGCCCCCTTCTTAACAGAAACATTGATCTCTTTTTTTTAAATTCAGGATCATCAGTGGTTGGTTTACACTGGATGGTTGACTTGGGTGTAGTGACTTGTACAGAAAGCAGTCTCCACCATTAATTCCTTGAGAGCAGCAAGTGTCCCTTCACTGTTAAATTCCCAACGTCTACTATAAATTTGAGCACATAGTACTCACATTTATTCATTCAATGAGTGTTTTCTGAGAACCTCAATAAATAACTTTTTAAATTTAACTTAAGTGCAAGAAATTGCTTTTTAAATACTATTTTCCTATTGAAAAATGTGTTTTCTGCATACTACTATGAAATATTTCTGACAATGTCTATTTGTTGATAATAGGCATTGAAAGTAAGGCAAGCCGATATCACCAGAGAGACCGTTCAGAAAAGTGTTTGTGTTCTAAGCAAGCTGGTAAGATAAAACTAATGTAAGAGTAATTGAAATGTAAAATATCATAATTACTCAGATTTTATTGATAATAAAAAATTTATGGCTATTACAGTGAAAAATTTGGGCCTTGCTTTTTAAATTTTAAAATGTTTGAGGAAAGGAAATGACACAGTGAAATTGTACTATAATATTACTTCAAAATTTTGTTTCTTCTAGGTGCAGGTTGATGCCAGTGTATGTTTTGTTGGGTTGGGGTTTTTTTTGGGGGGTTGTTACTGAGGATTGAACTCAGGACATCATGCTTGCGAGGCAAGTGGCTGCACCACTGAGCTAAATCCCCATACCATTTTTAAAAAGAAAATATTTGACATTCTTTGGCTTTCATAGTACAGTAACATCAAATGTCTAATTGCGCATGTGAAATACTGTCCTCAGAATCCCCTTTGTGGGGAATAATCCAGATCTATATCACATTAGATGTATGTATTTACCTTATCAACCATTTCCCTAGTTTACCTAAACCAAAATGGAGAATTTTTTTTTTTTAAATCTAGTCACTAAATGTATGTAGGTTTTAATTATTTCTTCTGCAATTGTCCATTTTCCTGTCTACAGGCAATTTAAATGTACTTTGCATAATGGAGTTTTACAAGGGTTTTTTTTGTTTTGTTTCGTTTTTGTACTGGGGATCAAATTCAGGACTTTGTGCTTGCAAGGCAGGCAGAGGAACCACAGAGCTAAATCCCCAGCTAAAAATACTGTGAGCCTTCACAAGATTTTTGAGACTCAGAATACTTCTTCAAGGTAGTAAACAGGACAAGAATATATTTTCCTTTTTTAAAAATGCTATAAAAACACCTTGCAATCAAAAAAATTGATAGATTGCTAATCTGATTCCTATATTGAGTTTCTAGAAGGATAACCTGAAAAATACACATCAGTAAATTACTGTTTTATGTTGGGCCGGAGACAAAAGCCTGGGACTGTTGGATATGAAAGGAAACACCTTGTATCCCTGAGTAATGATGGTTTTTGAAGGACAATTATCACCCTAACAGAAGCCATTTCTAGGTCAGGTGTTAATTCTATACTAGATACCTTTTATATTGTATATAATTGTCTTTTTTTTTTTTCATAACGACCCTGAAATATATTTACTGTTCCCATTTTATAAAGACATACCATGCAAGTGCAAGGTCCCAAGTTTGATCCCTAGTACCAAAAAATAAAATAAAGACATACCTAAGAGAAACAATATCTAATTTCTCACAGATATGAATTAAATGATAAAATTGGGATCAAATCTAGTGTCTGTCTGTTTTGAGACGGGGTCTCACTATGTAGTTCAGGCTGGCCTCCAACATGCCAGACTGGAATCTAGTTTTCTCTGTCTCTGAAACAGACACAGGAACTTGAAGAACTCACTCAAAAAGGCCTGACTGTTCATAGTGCATTGTAGTCTATATGTAAAAATACAATAAATTTACATTTAGATGGTAGTGATACATTATTATCAGGAATATTGGGGAGAAAACTTGGCCAGTGTTACTTTTTTCCTAACTAATTAGAGTATATTGGACTCTGTCCTAAAGAGAACATACAAATGAGAAAATATCTAGAAAAGGTTAAAAGGATAGACATAGAAGAGGATCTTAAGTAGAAATAAGAATTAAGGAAAATTTAGATTCACTGTCAACTGGCAGTGCACCTGTACTCCTACCATTCAGGAGGCTGAGGCGGGAGGATCTCAAGATTGAAGCCAGCCTGAGCTATATAGTGAGACTCTGTCTCACAAACAAAACAAGAAAAAGACACACTGTCTTGTCACTCAGTGTGGAGAGGGTGAATGCCCACAAATAGCAGTTGAGTGACGAAGAAGGCCCAGGAGACTGTATTTGTATTGCCAGGTGCCCAAGAGTGCAGGTAGTGACATCAGCCTCCATTTGTGAGTGACGAAGCCCCGAAAGTTAACGGTTACTCATGGCTTTCTCTTGTCCTTTTTAAATCACAAGACTTGGGGTGGCTTGTTGTGACTGTTACCAACCTAATGGTAATTTCTCTCCCTTTAAGCCTCTCTATGGCTTACTTCAAGCAAAGCTTCAGCTCATTACACACGCGTATTTTGAAGAGAAGGACTTTTCCCAAATTTCCATTCTAAAGGTAACTTTATACTTTCGTATTGATGTATTTGGCTAAAGATACATTAATGAATCAAGTGAATCTTGTCAGTAATTCTGTGAAGGACAATATTTATAACTGAAGAAAAATGTTCTTAACTGGGCATGATTATGGATGACTGCAACACTAGTACCCTGGGAGGCTGAGGCGGGAAGATTGCAGGATGAAGCCCAGCTTGGGCAACTTAGGAAGACCCTGTGTCAAAAACCAAAGGCCTGGGATGTAGCTCAGTATGAAGGTTCTGGGTTCAATCGCCAATATCACCAAAAAAATAAAAATAAATAAAGACATTCTTTGAAAATCCATTTACATGAAAATATTGAAGGACCATGGCTCTGGTAGGATACTTCTAAATTTACCCCAGCCAGGCATGGTGGTGCACATCTGTAATCCCAGCACTCAAGAGGCTGAGGCGGGAGGATTGCCACGAGTTCAAGGCCTGCCTGGCTACACAGCAAGACCCTATCTCCAAAAAACAAAAGTAAAACATAATTTTAGGAAATAATTATTATAAATAACTTAAATAAGTGTTGTGAATAATAGTGTTTTGTGGTGGTGCTGCATCTGTACATCCGTTTACTGTACCAGTGAACTGCACACTTGCAGCTCATGAGGCTCCCAGTTCCTGGTTTCTGATAGCCTGGAGCAGAGAAGCCACACGATTATTTTCTGGAGGTGGAGCATGCTCTTCTCAAGACTGTGCTCAGTGTACAGGTCCTGGGTCCCGCTGGATGCTGGCGATAGTAGGGCAGTTAGGGACACAGTGATGAAGCAGGGAAGGTGTCCTACCTTCACCCCACCTTGACAGGCACACGAGGGGGCGGGGAGCGGAGGCGTCCGGAGGACTCACACTTGTGTCCAGCTCTCTTCTGACACAGCTCGTGTCTGGAAGCTAGGAAACAGTGCTGGAAACTGGCAGAGTTTCAGAGAGGCCTTAACTGTTACTTAAGTTTAGCCCCTGGCAGGTCAAGAACCATCTGTTTTCTGATCATATTTCTAATTCAGTATCAAAAATGATCTAAATTCAGTCTGTTTCATAGGAGCTTTATGAACATATGAATAGTTCCTTGGGAGGAACTTCGTTAGAAGGATCCCAAGTGTATCTTGGTAAGTAACTTGTACAGGTCGGAGGAGCTGCCTCGTTCTGTTCAGCTGAGTTGTTGTCAAATGTCATGATCAGAATCCGTGTCTCTGTGGAACCTGACTCTTCAGTAGTCAGTGCTGCTGCTGCTTTAGAGATGCTCTGGCCATGATTGTTCCGAGAAGGTTTGTGGTAACATACAGGTTGTGACTTTCACTGCTATTATTGTACAGGGCGATGTCTGCTTTTCGGAACAGTAGTGGAAGTTTATTCTCTGCCTTACTTTAATGCTGACCAGCTCAATTCCCTGTAAAACAGAGGGAGAAGAAGACAAAGTAGATTTCTCAATTACGTTTTAAGATTTTTCAGGTTAGGGATTTTGTTAAATTTATACTATCTTGACAACCCAGAATATTCTTTGATGTCTAAGGAACTGATTCATCTTCATAATAAAACGTTTATCACACAGTGATTTCTGTCCCCTCCTATTCTAGCATAAAGTAGCAAAATGGTGGGAGTTTACATTTGCAGTCCCGTGTATAATGTAAGCTAGACAGAGAGCACCCGTTCTGAGGACATTTTCCTCTAAACTATCTGCTCTTACGCTATGGCATTGGAGGCAGCTGACTGGAAGAGACTGTGTTTCAGAAATAATAGCGTATGTGATCCAGTGACCACAGCCGTCCTGAAAGGACTGACTTGTGAAGCCTCTGTTCGTAGACTGGAGGAGGGTGCTAGACCTGTAATATCCGAACAGTAGCTCCCAGCAGTGTGTGGTCGTCTGCGTTTATGTCAGAGGAATGGGGGTGGTGGCGGAAGGATCGAGATGTGTCACGTGCGGCCACCAGCTCCCCAGGCGCTCCCCAGCGTGATTCCTCTGCACTGCAAACATCCACCAATCAAAAAGAAAAGACAATCTTTTAAAAATCAAATGAAAAAATTAGTAAAAACTAAATACAATTTAATTTTTGCGGGTCACGTTTGACCCATTAGATGGGGCAGGGTTAAAAATTTGCACCCTTGAGAAAGTCCTCTTGGACAGCACTGTTTCTGAGCATGTGTGTATGTAACTAAATCCTACGTGAGTATTTGCATAGTATTTTCTTTTTTTATGTTCCCTTCCTAACTTTCAACAAAAATAGTAGGGTACAGTCACAGATTAGCTTTTTGTTCATATTGTAGGTCTGTCTCCTCGAGATCTTGTCCTTCATTTTCGACACAAGGTATGACGCCTTAGAGTGTGTGATCTACTGAAATGACAGTGATACTGTATTCCTTTTACTGACCGATCCTGTGTGCTGCATCAGCTGCACGTTATCCTTGGTTTCATAGCTATTCAAAGTTGAAAATGTCAGGCCTGCTAGTATCTTAGACATTTATCAAAGACTACAAATGCTATCTGTTTACTTATTGCAAGATGGGTTTCTCCCCGCTGTTCTTTCTAGTTTCAGCCATCATAAGATCAGAGGAGAAGGAAACATGTTTTGACATTGTAAAATGTTGTTATGCTGCCCTAAGAATAGAACGTTTTCCAGTAAAATACCTGTCTTTAAAATACCTGATTTCGGGCTGGGGATTTAGCTTAATGGTTCCACCGCCTGCCTCTCAAACACAAGGGCCTGAGTTTGATCCCCAGTACCAAAAAAAAAAAAAATCTCATACATTAACATTTTTTGTCTTGAAATCATAATAACAGAGCTTTCAGTGTTACAAACCGCTTTTCCTTGAAAGGTGACAGTTTGTATTTGGCGTGCTTTTGCACAAGTAATGTGATCTTGCTGTTGTGTGCACACTGATAGTTTGTCAAACCTTGGCTCATATGTTGTAGTTGGAGAGCAGCACGCGCAGCACTCAGGTCGTCTGTCAGTGCATTTCTTGTACCAGACTTGATAGAATTCAGCCAGAGATTTGGCTCAGTGGTTCCGCTGCCTGTCTCGTAAGCACAAGGACCCGAGTTCGATCCCCGGTACCAAAAAGCAAACACCACACACAAACCTGAGATGATCCAAAGTAAGAAGAGCAATGCCAGGTGCTCTCAGTGACTGACAGTTACTTGGCAGACAGTTCCACACTTAAGGGTTTCGTTTTTACAACTCCCAGCTCCTCCCTTCACACTCCGTCTTCTCAAGGGTTGCACACAGGTCATAGAATTTGTTTTTCCAGACAGAGCTTTCTTAAAATCCCAACAGCTGCGAAATCTCACCGATGTAAGCATGGAAAATCAAGTTCTTTAAATTTGGCTTTATCTGGAGAAGTAAGAAAATTCAAGGTAGTCTCTATCTTACAGAACTGTAAAAATCCATTACTAAAATTCTCCTTTGCACCTGCTGAAATGCTAGAAAATTCCATCTAGATTTCCTGAGGACTTGTAGGATTGTCCACAAATGTTGCAGAATTTTCTAAATGCATTTTTAGATTTGGAAAATATTTCAGCTGATCATTTTCAAGGTCTCTTTCAAAACCTGCAGTTTTCTCTCAAATGTTTTGATATCACCAAACAACTTTCTGCTGTTCTCCCTACACATTGTAGATTTTTGTTTAGTAGTTTGAGGTGTACTGTATGTAACATCTGTAAAGAACATGAGGTGGTTAAGCCGGGCCATATCAGTGAGCTGTGGACATCCCTGCCCTTTCTCATTCGTACACAGCCTAATTTCATCCAAGAAGGCTACAAATCTCTCCTGGACTCATCTCCACTCATCTTCTACTCAGCCACTGGACATTATTATGCATAAGTAAAGTGTTATCCTGTGCCTGAGCCTCATCAAGACATGCTTGAAATTGTTGAAAATGCAGAGCATGAACCGTGACGTGATGCACCATTTTTGTGACATTCTGGAGGATGTTGTTTAATCTTTTGCTGCTTTACCTGACACACAGGGCTTCTTCATGTATAATACAGTGACCCTGAATGTCTTTAACAAAGAACTGTGCTGTCACCAGTAATTGAAAGCACTTTTTCTGGTCTTACATCTTCTGACGAGAAAGCGTCCAGCTCGGCCCTGTAGATGTCCATCCACCCCTGGTGTTCTCAGGCAGAGACACAGGTGCACCCACTCTTCTCTCGTCACGTCACCAACAGCAGAACAGAATCGCCGCTAGCCTGGCGTTATTACTTTTATCTGTGCTTTCATCCAAGCACATGGAGTACTAGCCTGCCTTTTGTAAGTCAGCAGTGAGCTTTAACAGTATTTCTGCTAAGTGGCATCTCACAGATGCGTTGCATAATTTTATCTTTGTGGGAAATCATGGAAAAGAGCCTTCTTCCCAGACAACATGACCATTTTGATAAAAGCCCCAGAGAGGGGCTTACTGTGTTTTGCTATACACAGTGAAATTCGAAACCTGGCTGCAGTCAGGTGACTTGTTTTAGAAAGATAGTCACAAAAACTAAGATACTGGGAATGGTGTTTCCTCAGTTCCCCTTCAAGAAACTCTCCTGGACCAGGGATTTAACTCAGTGGTTCTGCCACATGCCTTGCAAGCTCAAAGTCCCAGTGTTGATCCCCAGTACCAAAGAAAGAAACTCTTCCAGTTTCACCACGTTGGGCAGCAACACTTCTGCGGTTGGTGTCAGAGTGCTGTCTGACACTTGATGTGTGACTACACAACACTTGTACTACACAGAATGTGTAACACTTTCCCGCTGTGCTCTCCCCAGGCCTCTTGGAATTATCTTCCACTATCTGTTTTCAATTTGGCTTTTCTTGTTGTCGTTTTTCGGTGTTCAAGACTTGGAGTCTGCAAAAACAAAAAAGTTTCTTAAAAAAATGAAGCACCCAATACAAATCTATCCCTATACCAAAAACAGCTAACACTGTTAGCTAAACAGTGGAGCCTGTTGTGATGATTCATGCCTGTAATCCCAGTACTTGGGAAGCTGAGGCAGGAGGATCACGGTGAATTCGAACTACATAGCAAAATCCTGTCCCCCCCCAAAAAAAAAATGGATATTCCCTGAATCATTATTCAGCAGCAGTGATTCTCAGCTGGGGTTTCTCTTTAATCTGCTGAGCACCACTGCAAGGGGACAATGTTCCTCTGACCACCAGCTTTTGGCCCTCTCTGAAAAAGGCATCTGAGTACATTTCCTACCTTTTGGAGCTTCTGCTAAATCATAGCCAGTCCAAGCAAATATATATATATATCCTTGCTCCTGTTTTCATAAATTCTAGATGACTAAATATGAGGGCAGGGGCCTGGCATATTAACAGAAAGTCTCTGTATTTAGAAGATCTCTTTGCTAAATCCTAGATATTAAATTTCAGTTTTTCATAAGATAGCTAGTCTTGTGTTAATAAAAATAACTAAAACATCCAATGCAAGCATATATATGTGATGTATATTACATAGCAGTATGTTATAACTTTTTATTATATATAATTTTACATAGCAGTATAAGATAGATAGATATATGGTGTGCCCTGACTGTCCATGCGGAGGTTCAGATGAGTCACGGCTCAGGCCATCATCGCCTTGCCCCACCCCTCTTTCCTGAGCATACGCATAGCCACTCGTACTGGTAGCTGGTGCTCGGTTTCTGGGAGACATAGCTCATGTGCGGACGGAGAGGCTCTTCGTGCCCACTGTGGTACGTGATGCGTGCCTTAAGTTCGCCACCACTGTGTGAGATGTTTATTAAACACCTGCTGTGTGAATGTCCTGAACATCCAAACATAAATAAATAATCCCTGCCCTTTAAGGTACTGTGTCAAGCAAAGACAGCACTATACTCCAAAAAAGGTAATTCAGTTATAGATTTAACTGTCTCACATTTCTTTAGAGAACACAGGTAATGTTTAATTTCTTAGTATAAGTTTATGGTTTTCCTGCCTTAAAATGCTGTAATTATGTTTGAGGATGGGAAATGGTGGATAATAGAATTGAGTTTCTAATTTTAATATTTTAATCTTTTTGTAGGTCTTAATCCTGTTTAAATTAATTCTTCTGGAAAAAAAGGTGAGACATGAAGGGGCAGAAGGAAGAATGGTTTATTTTTTGACATTTCTTACATATTACATGATACGGGAACATGATGATAAAATGTAAGATGTTTCTTGCCTGTCAAATTGTGGGAGCTGAAGCACATGCTCTCTGTGCCTTACAAAGGTAAATCTGCATGTTCTTTCTGGAGGCAGTTTGATAGCACATGTAGTTATCAGGACAGTCTTCATAGTAGGCAGCAGAAAACCGATTTGTTTTGTTTTTTTGAGACAGGGTCTCACTATGTAGTTGAGACTGACCTGGAACTCACTATGTAGCCCAGGCTGGTCTTGAACTCACAGCGATCCTGCTGCCTCAGCCTCCGGAGTGCTGGGATTACAGGTGTGCGCCACCACACCCGGCAAAAACACCAATTTTAAGCTGATTTAAATAAAAAGGAAATGTGTTGGTTTGTTCCAGCTTTAGGACCAGTTGACCCAGTGGCTCCAGAGTGTCACAGTACCCCGTTTGTCCATCTTGTACAGTCCACAGTGCGGGCTGTGCGGAGCCTGCTGTGCCTGTGGTGGAGGAAAGGCAGTAGTAACTGGGCTGTTACTTCCTCCGTCACGACTGGTGGCAGAGGTGATTCCTCTTCCCGAACCGTTAACATGAATTCTCCCTTCGGGCCTGTCGGGCTGTGTGCCTGCCCTGGATTGTTGATGGCTGTCAGAGATCTGCCTTTCCTGATGGGCTTTCACTAAGGTTCCAGGCCGCTCTAGCTCAGAGGCCTGGGACTTCCCACGGTTCGTGCAGACCACGGCTCATCCTCAGCCACGTCTCATCTGCCACTGCTTCTGTAAGTAAAGCTGTACTGGAGCGGAGTCACGTCCATCCCGCTGCCTGTCTCGATTGCTTTCACTCTGTAGTGGCGGTGAGGAGTATTTGTGACAGAGACCCTGTGGTCTAACTCACCCCTCGTAGAGAAATGTTGCCGACCGCTGGTTTAGACCACTGGAGTGCCGTCCTGGGACTCAGGGCCGGTTCTCTGTGCTGTGTTACTCTGCTCAGTGGGGAAAGGACTGCACCATGTCCAGTCTGGTTCATTACCTTTAAAGTATCTATTCCTTCAACCCGACGGTTCTCCCCTTAGTTTAATTCTTTTCCAGAATTACAATGAGTTGGACACAAAACTCTGTCTAATAAAGAATCCGTCACAGAGTCACTTTTAATAACGAGCTATATATTAATAGCTAAATGATGGTTTAATTTTTATGTTGTGTATCCTTCCAAATAATAACAAAAATACTCAGGTATCCTACCAGTTGTTTAGTAATGTGTGCTCTATTTAAAATTGCAGTTTTAGGGCCAAGGATTTAGCTCGGTGGTGCTGCCACCTGCCTCACAATCACAAGGTCCCAAGTTGGATCCGTGGTACAGTTTCAGGGCCAGGCATGATGGTGCACACCTGTAATCCCAGCACTTGGGAGGCTAGTCAGGGAGATCTTGGTGAATTTGAGGCTAGCCTGGGTTACATAGTGAGTTAAGGGCCAGCTTGAACTACAAATGGAGGTTTTGCCTCAAAAAAAATTACAGTTTTAAAGAATGGGAAAAGGGCTGAATTTTCTACCTGGGTTTTTACTAGGAAGATTGCAGAACTAGTGAGGTCTCAACTGTGCGTTGTTAGAGATAAAAATCTGTAGCTGCCTGCTTTCTTCAGTCTGGGATCCTGTGGAGGGTCATGTATCTCATCACTAGCTCTCTCTAACCTCAGACAGTCTAACCACCTCTCTCTCTTCGTTCTTGTAGGGTTTTTTTGTTTTGTTTTTTGTATTTAAATGAACGACATTGGCACTTTGGGTGTGTTGTTACTGAGGATCAAACCCAGGACCTTTGCAATGCAGCTATAGACCCAGCCTTTGTTTTGTTTTGTTTTGTTTTGTTTTTGGTACCAGGGATCGAACTCAGGTTCTTGGGCTTGCAAGGCAGGTGGCAGAACCACTGAGCCACTGAGCTAAATCCCCGGCCCTTAATTTTTTATTTTGAGACCTCATCACTTAGTTGCCCAGGCTAAACCTGAACTTGTGATCCTCCTGCCTCGGCCTCCCAGAGTGCTGGGATTACCGGAGTGCACCACCGTGCCCAGCTAGCATTGGTACTTTTTAAAGGGGTCACGCTAGTGTTACAGGATTAGAGCTGTGTGGTTGCTTTCTCATGGCTAGTTTTTGAGAGTAAACTTTTTTTTTTTTATCAAGAATGCTACACAGATGATGGTGTGTCCTCCGTGGTGACCTCAGAAGTCTGGTCACCATTTACACTACTGGTGACATAGCTGGACCCTGGGTTGAGGTGCTGGTCACCGCTTTAATAGGCCCAGCCACCTGTCAGTGTCAGTGACCACTGCTAAGTAGTTCCTGAGTAACGCTGTACATTTATCAGCTGTCACTTCTCCACAAAGAACCTCCTTTTTTGTTTTTTGGAGAGTTTGTTTTTGTTTTTGTTTTGTATTTTTAGGTTCTCACAGACTTCCTAATTTACTTTTGGTTGAATCTATTTCAGGTTCTTTTTTATATCTCTCCAGTGAATAAATTGGTGGGTGCGCTGGTGACTGTGTTGTCCCTTTTTCCAGGTAAGAGAAGAGCGGTATCTATTCGCTCTTACTGACTTCACCGTCCAAGGGCGAGCTCATTAGGGTTATTGTTTCTCTTTTAATGTGAGGTTTTCCTCCTTGTCCGAGTGTTCTTTGACTTATACTAACCCATGTGCTAAGTTTTTACAAGAGTGTTGCGCCATATAAAACAGCACACAGCCCCCGGTCTCCTCCGTGCTGTCACAGCCAGGCTGCCCTCCATTGCGGTGTGTTTCAGGCATGATTGAGCACGGTCTCCGTGACTCTTCGCAGTACAGACCCCGCAGAAGCGTGTCTGAAGGTGCTGGGCTTCCGGACGGTAATCTCCCTGCAGACGACTCTCTTCCTGGGCCTGGCTCTGCTGCTGACTTTTCAAAGGCCAGTCTGGGAACTGGCGAGAAAATCATGGCCAGAGACCATGGAGGAAGTGCTGCCATCGAGACCAAAGAGCACAGCAAAAGACAAGAACTCGGTAGCGGTCAGTATTTGAAACCTCCATCTCGTCCATCTCCAGAGTCTTCAGAAAGTGACTGGGAAACCTTGGATCCTGGTGTCTTAGAAGACCCCAGTTGGAAAGAAAGGGAACAGGCGGGGTCAGACCAGACAGACTTACTTCCAAAGTACTCTGTGCTCTCAGACAGCACTCCAGTCACTGCACAGCCTCAGGCCAATACAGGCCCCGTGGTCCTGACGCCGGGACTTGTTTCAGGCTTGGAGGAGGACCGGTACGGCATGCCCCTGGCCATCTTCACAAAGGTAACGCTCACACCCTCTATGGCGGGCCTCGTACTTAACTCTCAGTACCACGTGTGGAGTGGTGTGGCATCTGGTGACAGTGTAAGGCCATGTGGAGCTGAGGCCAAGGGTTTTGGGAAGAGCCTGGAGTCAAATCAAGTAAATGGAGTCAGCAATCACTGTATTGGGTCTGTGTTTAATTACTCAGATTTCTCTTTGAAAAAAGAATTAATTAAGGAAATCCAGGTAGTCTTGGTAGCACTTAACACGTATATATTAAAATACTGCCGTGTAACCTGTATTCCCAGCTAGAGGCCGAGGAAGGAGGATTTCTTGGGCCCCAGAATTCAAGATCAGCCTAGGCAACATAGCAAGACCTTCTCTCCAAAAAGAGAAAAACGCTGCCTTTTTTACCTCTAATAATTTTTTATAATTCTGTATATTAGGGAAAAGATACAGCAGTTGTCTGAGTCCAGCTAATGTCATTTAAGCTGATGATCTTCAGTTCCCTCCTTTTTCCTGCAGAGTTTCTTCCTTAGGGCTGAGCAGTGCTCTGGTGTATCTAAACCACGTGCTCTGTAACCACCCCTTGACGGACCACATCTCGGCTGGCAGGAAGGGAGGTGCAGCAGACATGAGGTGACCCTAAGCCCTTCGCAAGTGCACCAAGCAGCGATGCAGCCGGGTCACGCAGTCATTCTGTTTCAGTGTTGCGGGGAACCTCCACACTGGTGTCTGGTGGCTGTGCTAATCTCCTTTCTCACCAGCAGCACAGGGGGCTCCTTTTCCCCACATTCTAGCCAGTGTCTGTTGTGTGTATTCTCCCACCCCTCTTCGGTACCCGGATGGAACTCGGGACCTTGAGCCTGCAAGGCAGGTCGGTGCCACTGAGCTACACCCCCGGCCCTGTTGTTTGTATTCTTCACAATAGCTCTTCTGACTGGGGTGAGATGGTCCTTCACTGTAGTTCTGATTTGCATTTACTGTTTGAACTATTTTTGATAAGTGATTGTTCACTTCATTTGCCCAGTTCTTGATTGGGAAATTTGGGGTTTTGGATATCTTCATATAATCTGAATGCTAATCCTCTGTCAGAAAAGAAGCTGTCAGAGAGTTTTCATCGTCTGTAGGTTTTCTGTTCACCAAATTTGTTCTAACATACTGGAGAAGTCTTTTACCTGTGTCTGTATGTCAGTGCTTGCCTTATGTTTTCCTCTGGTGGCTTCAAAGTTTCAGGTCTTATACAGTAACCCTTTGATCCATTTTGAGCGGATTTTTTTGTACAAAGTGAAAGATGGGGATCTAGTTTCAATCTTCTACTCGTGGTCATCCAGTTTTCCTAGCGCCATTTGTTAAGAGGCCATCTTTTCTCCAGCGTGTATTTTTGGCTCCTTTGTCAAGAATCAGATGACCGGAGTTGCGTGGGGCTCTTTCCGTATCCTCTGTTCTGTTGCTTTGGTCTGCTGTTTGTCACTGATTTGTGGAACTTCTGTCTGTCAATTATTTGTTTTATGTCCGTGTTTTGAGAGACTTGATTAAAAACCCTGCCCCACCTGAAGCTCTGCGCAGCCTTCTCCTCGCTTTGTGAAGCACTCTACTTCTGCCTCTCACATTTCACATTTTGTCTGCCTGGAGCAGATTCCTGCGCGGCCGGGCAGGGCTGCTGTTCTTCAGGAGTCTCTGAGCCCTTTGCACTTCCTCACGGCCACGCGAGTGGAGATTTGGGGCGAGGTGAGTGTTAGAGAGACTCGGCCTCCCTGGCCCAGGGAGGCTGCAGTGCCGGGACCTGCTCATCCTCGGACCGGGAAGAGGAAGCCGAGGCGTCGTTGGTCCCAGCTTTCTGCACCGTGTCACTGTGCCCAGCAGCTCACAGTCCTGTGTCCTAGCTGTCCTGTGACAGATTCGCTTCCACACAGCTCCCCCCGGTTGCAGTGTGTGGAAGCCATCGCTTCTACCCTCTTGCTCCACTGGACCCTGGGGTTGCTGCCACCTTCTGGCCACCGTGAGCAAAATGGCCGTGAACATGGGGTGTGACTGTCTTGGTGATGTTTCCTCAGTTCTTGTTCTGTGTTCTTGTTTTTTATTTTGTCTATTTTAACCATTCTACGCTGCGGTTTCCAATGTGGAGCTGGAATTGTCATAGGAGAATAGAAAGCCAGGAAGGGCTTTGGTGTGGAGGCTGCTTCCTGTGAGGGACCTGTGCTCTTGCCTCTGCTGTGCCTTAGGGACTGTTAGAAAACAGGCTGAACTGATCTGATAGCAAAGTTTTAAAAGTATTCTGTGAGCCGGGCGTGGTGGCACACACCTGTAGTCCCAGCACTCGGGAGGCTGAGGTAGGAGGATCACTGTGAGTTCGAGACCAGCCTGGGCTACATAGTGAGTTCCAGAGCAGTCTCAACTACATAGTGAGACCCTGGCTCAAAAAACCAAAAATAAATAAATAAATAAATAAATAAAGTATTCTGAGAACTACTATTTGAACAGTTTTATAACCATGTAATATTTCCACTTAGTTCAACAGTCAGAGTTTCCAGAGCATCTATAAAAAATATCCCTATGGCTGGGTGTGTAGCTCAGCAGCAGAGTCTTTGCTGAGAACACTCAAGATTTGGTATCCAGTGCCAAAAAAAAAAAAATTTTTTTTTTAAATCTTTCCGCCAGGTTTTGTGGCTGCGTTACACTTACAGTATCAACACTTAGAAGGCCAAGGCAGAGTGGTAAGAGTGAAGCAAGCCTGGACTACAAAGACCTGCCCCCAAAAAATTGTCTCCTGTCGGGCATGGTGGTGCATCCATACTTCCTGCGAGTGTCATTTTCCCTTTTAATAGAAGCAGAGATCTTGACACATTTTTGCACGATTTGTATCAGTAGGGCAAAACAACGCAGTGCTTGCTGTTCTTGTAATAGTATTTTGGAAGTTACGTGCAGATGCATGTGTGTAAGTTTTCTACTAAACAACATACAGTACTTTTTAAAGGGCTTAACTGTTTTCTAAATGTTAAAGTCCAGTTCATTACTGTAGAGGCTTAACATTGAACCAAAAACAAGGTGGTCCAGGAAAGCAACCTTCATGTTAAACCACCTGACCAGTGTTGGCCATTATACAGAAGATAAGCTGATTAGGAACCAGACCCGCTGCCGTGGAGACCCAGGAGCCCTGGAATTGTGCCGGAGAGAGGACACCGCGGGCGGGCAGGAGGCAGCACAGCCCTGCCTCTCCTGCTGAGCTCTTCCCCGCTCATGCCCCGGTGCTCTTGTTCCCGTAGGGATACCTGTGCCTGCCCTACATGGCCCTGCAGCAGCACCACCTTCTCTCCGACGTCACCGTTCGGGGATTTGTTGCTGGAGCTACCAACATCCTTTTCCGACAACAGAAACACCTCAGTGACGCCATTGTGGAAGTACGTTCGTGTCTGAGTGCATGTGCTGGCCCTTGGGTCCTTTCTGAAATGCGGTTATGAAAATACAGCCACAGCACGAATAGCAGGGTGGTAACTGCTGCTGGGCGCTGTGTCCTACACGCCTTGTGCATTAACCAGTGGATTTTCGGGGCAGCCCTGCAAGGGCAGTGAGGGAGAGGTGCCGGGGGGCAGGGACGCTGCTGCTATTCGCATCCACAGAGCTGAGGAGCCCAGGACCCGCGCTGAGCAGTCATGCAGTCGGAACCCCTCTCACCTTTAGTGTTCTCTTAATATTAACAGAGCTAAGAGGACCTGTCTGACATCATATTAGTATATTTAAAACTTAAATAGTTTAATTTTAATTTTATGATCGAAGTAATTTTTGAAAAAAGAACAAAGTTTTAGCTGCGCCAAGGTTTCTGTCATTTCTGACACAACGTACAGACTTTATGGAAAAATGGTTATAGTAAATGAAAAATCCAAGATTTCAAATGATATTTGTATTGATCTAAATTTGAGGAAGGAAAAATATGAAGACCATCGGGAGAGAAGGTACAGATGTTAGCATTGGTCCATTCTAGTGGGGAAGCTGGAGAGGCTCCTGGGTGTTTATTATTTTACTTCAAAACTAAGCAGTAAACTGGGTGTGGTGGCGCACGCCTGTAATCCCAGCACTCGGGAGGCTGAGGCAGGAGGATCACTGAGTTTGAGGCCAGCCTGGGCTACATAGTGAGTTCGGGGCCAGCGTGAACTACAAAGGGAGACCTTACCTCAAAAAAAACTAAGCGGAAAGCTATGTCTGTTTCTCTGTATATTATAAAAGTATTCTAAAGTGTATTCAAAAGGAAAACTTTAGAAGAATTGTACTTATTCACTTCTGTGAGTGAGATAAAAGTGATTTTACTATACAAGTATCTCTGTTTTCCATAATGCAATCAACATGAGTTACTTTTATAATTCAAAATAATGTGTATATACATATATTTTCTAAAACACAGAAAATAAACATTTTTTAAAATGCAAAATGAAGAAAGCTTTCGTGTGAAAGCCTGCCTCCGTTAGACTCGTTTCTGGAGTGCTGTCATTCGCATTTTAATCTCCAGCTCCAGCTCCCCAGTAGTTGCTCTGTGGGGTGTGGTGTGGGAGCTGCCTGCCCGCAGACTCTGACCTGCACCGCGTCCTGCAGGTGGAGGAAGCTCTGATCCAGATCCAGGACCCTGAGCTCCGGAAGCTGCTGCACCCGACCACCGCGGACCTCAGGTTTGCAGACTTCCTGGTGAGGCACGTGACCGAGAACCGGGACGACGTCTTCCTAGACGGCACCGGCTGGGAGGGAGGCGACGAGTGGATCCGGGCCCAGTTTGCCATCTACATCCATGCCCTGCTGGCTGCCACGCTGCATCTAGGTGAGACTCAGGCGGGCACGCAGCCGCCTTTTCCTTGTAACACTCGCGATGATTTGAGTTCACGGACGTTACTTAGAAATCCCGTTGCTCGCTCATACCGACCGCTGCAGCGAGTCTTAGTGTTGTGAGATTTGTGTCCCCCAGACCTTTTTCTTGTCGTATATTTTGGATCTGCGCACCACATCTGGCTGCCATGGTGTCTCTGGTAGTTCTTTTGCAAAACTGGATCTCTTTAAATGTCTTTTCTGAAACATAGCTTTTCTTACTTTACTGCTTCAGAAACAAGCCTGTATGAAAACAGTAAGTACTGATGTTTGTCACTCAGTGAAAAAAATATTCTGAGTGAGTAGAACTTCAAATGTGTACCCCATTCTAAGGAATTTATTTACTGCTTCTATGAAATGGTTAAATTGGGGTGCGTAAAAACAGATAAACTCAGGTGTTAAAAGTAATTTCTCTAGGAAACTGTACAAAGTGAAATCGGAATTCTACTCTGACCTCAGGCACTTGGCAGATACTCAGTAGTTTTGTTGTTCATAAAAGAATGTTGAGCTTGAGTTTTCCTCTCTTCAGTTGCCACTGCTGCCTCGAATTGTAAAGAAATACACGTGACAAAATTTACCAGCTAGCCTGTTTGATTTTGTGTTTGTGGAGCTGGAGACTGAAATCGGGGCCCTCACACTGAGCTATATCCTCAGCCCCTTCTGTTTTTGTTTTTGAGACAACATCTCCTCGTGTAATTCAGGCTGTCCTTGACACACTGTAGCTCAGGCTGGCCTCGAACTCAAGGCAGTCCTCCTGCCTCAGCCTCCTGAGTGCTGGCATCACAGGCTTGTGCCACGTGCCCAGCCTCAGCTCTTGTTTATGTTATTTTGAGGCAGGGTCTGGCCAAGTCACTAAGATCCTAAGTTGGCTGGAACTTGCACTCCTCCTGCTTTAGCCTCCAGAAGAGTAGGATTCCAGGTGTGCGCCACCATGCCAAGCTCAACAGTTTTAAATGCATAACTCCACACTGGCATGAGGCGCGTTCACAGACTCGACAGTGCTGTGGTAGCACTGTGTGGTAAACCTGCACCTCCTCCTCCTCCTCCTCTGAGGCGGGCTCTTCATGGGCTGTGTCGATGCTGGTTTAAATCCAGGCTTGGGCGTGTGCCTCATTTGCACAGGGACCAAAGGACCAACCAAGTCCTCATTTGTTAGTGGGATCATTTCTGCTACAATGTAGCAGCTGAGACGCATAAATAATCTGACCCAGATTCATTCAGCAATCTATAAAGAATGCACAGTCTCTCTCCACCTTTTGGCTTCATGAGTAATTTATTTACCTACTTAAAATACTGCTCAGGAGCCCAAAAAGCACTGATTAATAATATTACCTAACTTTATGTTAATGTTTAATATGTGTAGGGATCTGTTCTAAGCCCTTTACACTTGATAATTCATTTCATCCTCCACAGCCCTGGCGGTGGATCCCTTGTCCTCCTGAGGTAGGAGAGAGTGAGCTGCAGAAAGCCTAGCAGCATGCGTATCCATTCGGTTCAGAGGCGGAGGTAGAATTTAAAGCCAGTCTGGCTCAGGCCCATACCCTTACCAAGACCGAAAGGAAATTGGGCCCAGTAAATTGCTAAGAGGTGTTGTTAGAAGAACATATTTACATTGGAGATGGAACTGTGTATTTCATACTCTTCCCTTTTCAACCATAGAAAGCACCTTATTGTACCTTGAGAGCAACGTGTAGTTAATATTCAAGGGGTGATGGAAATGTACAGTGAATGTTTACGTCTTACTCAGGGGGACGCATTGCCCTGAACCTCCCGCAGAGTGCTCCCTTCACTTGCACACACACAGCCCGTGGCTCTCGCTGCTTTCCGCAGCAGTCCTGCAAGTCTGCTTTCCTGAGTGCTCTGTGAGGTGTGACCAGAACTGTGGAGGATGCTGCTCGGCAGAGAGGCGGGCGGGTAGCCGTGACGGTGAGCCCTCGTCTCGGTCTTAGCGTAACTAAGGGCACTCAGAGAGAGGCAGGCACCTGGGATGAGGCTGTCAGAGCAAGAGGGAGCATTTTGCTGGGGGTTGCGGCAGTCTCTCTTTTACTGTAATAAATTTTTTAAATTTGAATCAGTTCTTCGTTTTTTCCAAATTGATCAAACGCTCTACTTTGAGGCTTTCACATGGCATTGATAAAGCTGAAAGCTTTTAGGCACTGAATATGAGAATCCCTGTTGTGAAAGTGCTTTGGCCGTGACATGTGGAGACTCGAGGATGAAGGAACAAATAGTGAGACCCAGCCTGAAGAGCAGGAAATGGCTGAAACCAGAGTGTGTTTAGTCTTGATTTTTTTATCAAAAAAATGACATTTGTAGGGCTGGGGATTTAGCTCAGTGGTTTCGCCACTTGCTGTGCAAGCACAAGGGCCCAAGTTCAATCCCTGGTACCAAAAAAAAAAAAAAATGACGTTTGTGAAAACAGGGGGATATCCTAATTGCTTTCTTTATATGTATGAACCAGTGTGTTTAGTCACTGTAAACCCTATAGATTCTGTTTAATAAGTAATGCTGTCCTCATATTGGGAAGGAGAACACTGAAACATTTTGGAGTTGTAGGGAACCTGGGAAAATACCTGGCTCAACCCTCTTATTTTTCTTTTTTTTCTTTTTGTTGTTGTTGATGTTGTTGTTTGTTTTGGGGTGTTTTTGTTTTTGTTTTTGTTTTTGTTTGGTTTTTGTTGTTGTTGGGTTTTTTTTGGTACCGGGGATCAAACTCCTGTCCTTTCTGTTGCGAGGCAGGCGGCAGAACCACTGAGCTAAATCCCGGCCCAACCCTCTTATTTTCCAGTTAGGAAAATGAACTTCTGAGTGATTAAGTGACTTGCCAAAGACCACATAGCTTCTTAACAGGATTTCTGGAACTAGACCCAAGTTTCCTGACATCTGGTAGGCTATCTCTTAAAAAAAGAGTGGGGGGCGGGTGGAGAAAACCGATGCTTTACCCTCTGTGGTTGTTAATCTTCTGTCCCTAAACGTCACAGTCCGGCTCAGCCTCTTTCAAATGTTTACCCAACAGATAACGAGAAGATACTGTCGGACTATGGGACCACTTTTGTTACAGCGTGGAAGAATACTCACAACTACAGGGTGTGGAACAGCAACAAGCACCCAGCACTCGCAGAAATAAATCCAAAGTAAGCGCATCTCTGGAGACCAGTAGATAATACCTCGTAAACAGTTGCTTTACCAAGTGCCCAAAGCAAAGAGCATCTTGTTCTTAATATTGTGAGCATCTTCAAGAATCATCTTAAGTGGGTTATAAAGAAAAGCAGGGTAAACACTGCTCCCATAGTCTAGTTTCTGTATGAAAAGCGCAGCACTCCCATTTCTCCGGCTCTCGGTGTGGTTCGGAGGGAGACACTGCCACACGGTGGCGCTTCTGCAGCACGGCTTCTCCCTCTCCCTGGAGGACACCTCAGCAGAACGGCCAGATGAGGGGGCAGCCTGGGAGGACTCCATCGTCTTCCCACGCTGCGCACAGTGCAAACGCCGCCGTGGGGGATGCAGATCGCAGAGGCTTTTCCTGCACACGGGCAGAGCAGGCGTTCTGCACACTGCACACTGATGTGATCTCAGAGTAGCGTCCAGGCGGAGGGGATCTGGGGACGGACTTTAAATGCTGTTTGTGATGATACCAGGGTGCTCTGACTTTTTCATTGTGTTTTAAATTCGGGGATAAAATGGGCACATGTCAACTCTGTCCTCATGCCATCCTTTTCTGGGCCAGGTTGAAGTTTACCTGTAAGGTAGGTCGTGATGGAAGAGGCGCTGGAAGGGACAGCCCTGGCAGAGCGCCGAGCCAGGGCAGCCTGGAGGCGGCATGGAGGGAAGACGTGGATGGGCTTCGCAGTGTCTGTTCAGCTCTGCGCCATCTGACAAGAAAAATTACTAGGTTCCCATTTGTTTTGTTGAATTTAGTCCTCATATTTGGCTGTAGCAGGAGCCTATATTGCCACTGTTGTCAGAGCAGAAAACTAAAAGGCAAAACCACTTAATGACATCAAATGAAAGGCTAGCACTTGCTTTTTTTGTTTTGTGTTTTGTTTTGTTTTGTATTGTTTTTTTGAGACAGGGTCTTACCATGTAGTTCATACTGCTCTGGAACTTCCTGTGTATCCCAGGCTGGTCTTGAACTCACAGCGATCCTCCTGCCTCAGCCTCCAGAGTGCTGGAATTATAGGCATGCGCCACCATGCCTGGCTCTGAAAGGCTAGCACTTGTGTGTTATCTGTTCCGAGTACGACGCTGTGGTGCGGGGCCCTGACATCTACATGGGGCTCCCTGCACCCACCTTCGGGGCCCACAACTACGGCGTCCAGCTCTGCAGCCAGGCAGGCCAGGAGGCTTGGCCGGAGAGAACTGTGTAAGACTGAAATAGTGCTTAGAAAAAAATGATAGAAAGTGAGGTTACCTAGGGGGCCGAGGATTTAGCTCAGTGGTTCCACCACCTGCCTTGCAAGCACAAGGACCCGAGTTTGATCCCCGCTACCAAAAAAACCAAAAGAAAGTTTAGATAAAAGAAGGCTGAAGAAGGACCTGCTGACCAAAATAGGTATTTGAGGTAATTAGCCAGCCATACTAGCAGATTTTCAACATTGTCTCCAGTCTGAAAGAAGGGATAGTCTTCAGTCTTTACCGGGACGTATAACTTAGAAACACTCTAAATTAATTGCAATTTTAAGAACTGTGGAACCCTTTCTTCAGTTCCTAAAGACTAAGAACCCAGCCCTTCAGTGAACAGGTAGCAGGCCTGCTCCATCCCTAACACAGCCTTGCTGGAGCAGAGCGCAGCCACTGAGCTGAGCAGAAGAGGGAGGAGGAGGTGTTACTGTGCAGTCACTGGGCGCAGAGTACAGCAGTAGGCAAGCTGTGTGGAAGGGGTGTGTTTCTGTGCTGTGTGTGTGTGTGTTTTGTTTTGAGATGTGTTCTCACTGCATTGCCCAGGCTGACCTCAAAGTCATGGGTTAAAGGCAAACCTCCTACTTGATCCCCTGATTTTTTTTTTTAATATAGCATTTCCTTTCATGTAATAAAAGTGGGGAAATAAAACTCATGGACTTCCCTACTAAAAGATGGTACCATTTTTATAGAACTGCATTTTTTTTTTTTCAAAGACAGGGTCTCACTGTATACCTCAGGTTGGCCTCAGATTCAAAGTGATCCTCCTGCCTCAGCTTCCCAAGTGCTGGGACCGCAGATAGGTGCCATTACACCCAGAATTTTGAGTTGCTTTTTTTTTACGCAAAATACAAAAGTTCTTTTCATGACCAGTACAACACATTTATAAGATGAGCAGGATCAAGGTACAATCCTTGACCATGATCTAACTCAGTGACTAACCCTGACTGTCCTGGGAAGCTTTTAGAAAAGGCTGATGGCCAGGCACAGTGGCACATGCCTGTAGCCTGGATCGAGGCCAGCCCTGTCTCAAAAAAAAGAAAGAGAAATGATACCTGGCCCCACCCTAGGAGAGATAAGCCAGAGCGTCAGGAAGGTACTGATACAGCCACAGTCCCCCAACACGTGTGCACACACTCACAGACACACCTGCACGCACATGTTCTATCCCGTGAGGAGGAGGCCACAGCTCGACGGGGGACGTGCGCTCTGCTTGACGTGCACAAGCACAGAGCCGGGATCCAAGCCTCGTCTCCTTACAGCAGGTGCGAGCATGGCCTTTCGGCCGTCTGTGCTGAGATCTACTAAGACTTTCTTGACGACTCCTCACAGCGGTACCACTGGAAATCTGAACTCAAAATGTTTTGTTTTACAGCCATCCATTTCAAGGCCAGTACTCCATGTCAGACATGAAGTTACGATTCTCACAGTGAGTACTTAGACAAGATCCTGGGAAATTTCTTCTGTCTGATCTGAATGTATGCCATGTGTTTCACTGCCAATTAGGAATTTTGTTTCTCTACCTAGTAGACTTGCACTTCAAATAGTAACCCGAGGTGTGCATAGCATTCGCTACTCGGCAGTGTGTGTGTGTCAAGTAAACGCCCCTGCTCCATAGGAGTGAACTGGGGACTTGGCAGCTCAGGTGACATGGCTTAGACCGTGTCTTCCGAGCAGATTTGACCATGCTTATTTATGTCCTCTCCACTTTTTGGTTCATCTGCGTGTTTCACCGTATTCTGGAAATTCCTATCTTTAAAAGATCCATGGGCCGGGGATTTAGCTGAGTGCTGCCACCTGCCTCACAAGTGCAAGGTCCCAAGTTGGATCCCCAGTACCAAAAATAAGTAAATAAAAGATTCATAAATTCCCATAACAGGTAGTAAATTCAGCCCCCTAGTAATTCCGGTCTGGGGTGGTTGTAGAGCAGTTAATGTATGTGCATGCATGTGTGAGGTCTCTTTTTAGTTATATTAACACTTGTCTCCTTTATTCAGTTCTGTTCAGAATAGTGAACGTGGCAAAAAAATTGGAAACGCCATGGTCACAACCAGCCGGAATGTGGTACAAACAGGAAAAGCTGTGGGTAAGGCCTGCTGTTACCCGGAGCAGATCGCGGTCCTGCATGTCTGTGTTCTGTTCCCAGCATGTAATTGCTAGAAGGATAAAGGCGTAGAAATTCGTGTGGCACATGATAATCCAAGTATGTTTTAAAAATCTTTGTGTTGTTTAAAAGGTTACTGTGCTATCAGGCAGCTTCCCACCGCCAGTGGGTAGTGGCCAGGTACCCCGGCAAGCACACTACGCTGTTTCCCAGGCTGAGGCTGTGTGGGATTCTCCCTACTCCTTGGGCTGCACTTGTGCTTCATGAGCAGCTGCTCTCACAATAAAGTAGAGCAGAGGAGCAGCCGTCTGCTAAGGAAGGCCATCCCACTAGTAAAGAAAACAAATCAAACCAATATTTATAGAACTTCTGAGCCGGACGTGGTGGCGCACGCCTGTAATCCCAGCACTCAGGAGGCTAAGGCAGGAGGACTGCTGTGAGTTCGAGACCAGCCTGGGCTACATAGTTCCAGGTCAGTCTCAACTACACAGTGAGACCCTGTCTCAAGAAAAAAGAAGACATCATGATAGATCTTAACCGACATTAAAAGGTTAGGGGATGTTGTAAACAATGTTATGCCAGGCCAGGGATTTAGCTCAGTGGTTCCGCCGCCTGCTTCACAAGCGCAAGGTCCTGAGTTCAATCCCTGGTACCAAAAAAAAAAGAAGAAAGAAAGAAAATCTGCCATCATCTATCTACAAAATTTTAATTTAATTTTTGGTTTTTTTTTTATTGTTACCGAGGATCGAACTCGGGACCTTGCGCTTGTGAGCCAGGCAGCAAAACCACTGAGCTAAATCCCCAGCCCTCACAAAATTTTAAATCTTGACACAATATTTTTCATTTGTTTGACTTACAAACTAGGCATAGTAAGACATTAACAATCGTAATGTTAAAATGGAACCTGCGGGCAGACACACTGCAGTAAGAGTGACACGAATGTGACCCTCTCCAGAAGACCTGACACCTTCCCCTTTGCACGCACAGCGCTCTGCTTCGGAGCTTCTCTCTGAAGACTGAGGGCAGCGCCTGCTCCTGCCCCTGCACAGGGCGTGCAGTGGCCCCCGATGGTCCGTGTGCTGACCAGAGGACAGCAGCGCACAGCCTGGACGTGCCAGAGGGTGCTCGGAGCAGGAGCAGGCAGGCGCAGTGCCTTAGAGCTTGAAAATTATTTCTGGGATTTTTCCATTTAGTACTTGCATGCCACAGGTAACTGAACCTGTAGAAAGTGGAACCGCAGGGAAGGAAGACTCCTGGGCCTGGTTTGGGGGCCGCCGCCAGTATGTACACCACGACCATGCTCCCCGTGTCCCTCGGTGTAGAGTATTGATTCGATTTGTGTAACTTGACGCTAGCCTCTAGAACAGAACAGACCAAGGCAGATGAGTGCTGTCTGGCTATGGTGTAACAGATTTAGATGCTGAAAGCAAACTTCTCTAAGGCCACTGAGCTACACTTCCCTGCAGGTGGCCATGATTCTCCGCTCAGTGCTTCCGGCACGGCGCGGAGAGTGTGGACTGGTACGCAGTCTGGTAACGCAGGCACGGCCAGCCTTGCTCGCAGCTGGCTGAATACCTTCGAGTGCCAAGACTCAGTGAGCGCCTACACCAAGAGACCGTCCCGTTTGCCGCGGACAGGGGTTGTTTTGAAATCAGAAAATGCATGGTTGTGTCGGTGTGTGTCACCATTTATGGATGAGCCTGCGTCTCGCGCGGTCTTAGCCCGTTCAGATAGTTCTCCTTCCCTTCCCCAGGCCAGTCCGTTGGAGGAGCCTTCTCCAGTGCAAGGACAGCTATGTCGTCCTGGCTTTCAACCTTCACCGCCTCTGCCCCTCAGAGTCTCCCCGAGCCCCCCGACGGGAAGGCCTGAGCGCGACAGGCCGTGTCCACCGTGCCGCGGCCTCGGGACCACACGGGACGGAGGTGGGGCCGTGTCCCTGGGTGGGTGGGCGCCCCGCCTGGACGTCACAGGGACACGCTCAGGGGACCTCAGATCGACCGCTTCTCTCTATTCTGAGCCCAGAACCTGCAGTGAACCTTCTGATGAATTCTCAGGTTCTGAGATTGTGTCTGTTTACTTTAGGAAAGTTTTTATGTAAATTTTGTGCTGTTTTGCAGTCTGAATATACAGATGCCCGTTATAATTTATATTTGCCAAAATTAAGTTATACTACTATTTTTCATTTCTCTGATGTTGACCGTAAAATGTGCTCATCAAGGTAAAGGGCCATAAATCCAGCCTTTGTTTCATGGGTTCTGGGATTTTTCTTTGCGTTTCCTACCCACGAAGCACAGTGATCCGTTCCCTCCACGCGATGCAAGTCAGCAGGAGCTGTGTGTGGGGCACCTGCTTCAGAGGCCGCAGGAGTGGCCGAGGGCCATCACGGTGTGACTTTGTGGGAGGCACCTGCGCTCAGCTCCCGAGACCTGCGCCGTAGTTTCGTCAGCTCTGGTCACGTTTCAGTCTTTGCCAGCGGTTTTTAACCCGCACTTTGTGCCTTCTCGTTCTTCACTTGAAGTTTCCAGCGTCCTCTTCCTCTTGTTTAGAAAGCTTTTCTAGGCACTCGGCCTTCCTGGTTCCCTCACTGAAAATCCTCCTGCAAGTCATCGCTTGCCTTCTCCTAGAAGTATTTGTAAAAGAAAAGCAAATGACCCGTAAATATTAGAAATCTCAGCTGGGAGTGATGATGTGCACCTTTGATCCCAGCACTCTGGGGGCTGAGGCAGGAGGATCCTACCCTGGACAACTTTGCGACTTAGTCCTGTCTGAGAAATAAGAATAAAGGCCAGGGACGTAGCCCAGTTTGAAGGCTCTGTTCAGTCCCCGCACCACCCAGAAGAGGGGGACTCTCAGCTTAGCTCACACTTAGTAAACCGCAAGGCGAGCGGCGAAGACCACAGCCCTGCCCTTTGGCCCCGTGCCCAGGACACCTGGTTTGGGGGTCCCACCGGAGTACACGTTTCCGTGCTGCCTTCCGGGGGCCTGGGGGTGGGAGCTGCGAGGGAGCAGACTGCCCTTCCGCAGCAGGGCCCTGGGAGGCCCCGGCAGGGTCGCCCCGTCTGTGAGGAGGACGGGTTCGGTGCTGCCTGTGCTGGGGCACGCGGTGGGTGGGCCGGGTGTGAGCACGAGTCCAGGACGCCTACAAGCCTGCTTGTGTCTGAGCTCAGCAGAGGCCCCCGGTCTCCGAAGTGACTGGGAACCCGGAGGGGCCCGGCTGATGTCAGGCACGTCCGGGGTGCAGCCCGTGGGCCCAGAAGCAGCCCCGCCACGGCTGTTGACCCCCGACAGCAGCCACGTGAGTTAGGTCTCTCGCTAGCTCTCCATCCCAGTGTGCGTCGCCATCGTCCTCACACGCGTCTCGTTCACGGAGTGGACGCTTACCCGGCTCTCAGCGCGACCCGCGCGCCTGGGCAGGCTGAGGCGCTGTCAGAGGCCTCC